CTGGGGTACTACATCAGAAAGTCTGATAGTTGAGATGTATAGAAGCTAACAACAGATGGATGGTATATATAGTACAGCATACCTGAGAGATCCATGCAGTGACTACAGGTAGGTGGTGTATAATGTATGGGGTCCTGAGCAAAGTGATACTTCATTCACATGAGTGGCAAGGGACAGTATGAGATTTCATCGTGCTACACAGAATGGCTTGCAATTTGAAACACGTGAATTATTTACTCCTGGAATTTTCCATGTACTGTGTTCAGTTTGCAGGTGCGGGAGACAATTGCAATGCCAGGAAAACACTAAACACGATGTGTTGCAACAGGTGGTTGGTAATTGTAGCTATTAGTATTAATGGCATGTGTTCATGTAGCACATGGGCATTACACACCTTGAGTCTCATAAAAGCAAGTTGCAGAGATTCTGCCATTACCTTTGGCACCCAACTGAACACCCTTTTGTTCCAAACCCTGCTATGCTTTGTTCCTTCTACATGCCTCCTGCATGTTGGATTCCCTGGTCCTATCTAGACCTAAGACTGCCACAGGAAGATGGTGGTAAGCTTTGAATAGAGAGAGATTAGATTCATCAAATGAATCAAATAAGCTTGCTGATCAGTTCCTGAGGAGTAATAAGGGCTTTAATTAACCATAAGACCCCCATGAACAGAAGCCAGTCTGCAAGGATGGATGAGGGTAAACTTAAGTGGACCTTAAAGTTGCCATGATTGTGCAATAAGAAATGTCTATGAATATTTACTATGTGCTAGACACTGCTTCAAAACACACTAACATGATTTAATATAGTTCTTCTATAGTTGTTTGCAAAGGATTCTACAAATGTTTGCAAACCAGAAAATATCTAACCTAAATTTCCACAGACAGAAAAACAAACAAACAAACAAAAAAAAAAACCAAAAAAAAACAAATCACTGGAACTACAATCTGACACGAGACTTGAAAGCTATGTATCTTTAACAACTGTGAGATCATGACATTTGTGAGAAAACTGCTATTAATACACATGTATACCTTGTCCCTCTCTCCCCTGTTTATATGCCATCACTATTGGGTTAAAAATATAGATGGATCATTATCTTTTATCTCTTATTTTGTGCTTTTATTTTATGCTGGTTCTGGAGCTTGAACTCAGGACCTGAATGCTATCCCTGAGCTTTTTCAATCAAGGCTATTGCTGTACTACTTGGGCCACAGACCCACTTCCACCTTTTTGATGGTTAATTGGAGATAAGAGAGTCTCATGGACTTTCCTGCCCAAGCTTTCTTTGAATCATGTTCCTTAGATTTCAGCCACCTGGATGGCTAGGATTATAGGAGTGAGCCTCCAACAAAAAGCTACTTTGTGTTTTTTGTTAAAATTTTATTTGGTATCATCAGACCTTGCTAAATCTCTTAGAAGTTATGGTTCAAAGTGCTGTTTTGCCAAATGAGATAGTAAAACGGATGTGATAGCAAAGTTTAATCACGCAAAAAGACTCCACAAGTAAGGCCTTCTATTTGCTGGAGTGTCAAAACATACTGAGAAAATGCTATTGGAGTCAATGCTATTTGACGATTATCATCATCAAACTATTATTTATTTATCGAAGGTGAACAAGCCATGTCACGAAAGAAGGGTTGGATGAAAGAGAAAAAGAGAAAACTTAACTGTGACTTCATAGCCAGATGTTTAAGGGTTGCCATAAACAAGATGGAATACATTTTTTTTTCATGGCCGTAATGGGTGTCCATAAGATTGTTTTAAGTAAAATTACTAAATGTAATGAATGTTTTCATATTCTTACATATGTTCAAATTATTCACGGGTAGAAGGAAGCATTTTGGGGATGAGTTGGATCTTGAGCACTACAGCTTTCTAGCATAGGCTGACTTGAGGATGACCTTTTGCACTTGGGAGACATGCTTATTGCAAAAGCCTTAAATACAGATTTTTGAATAAGCAAAAAAAAAAAATTCTCACAATTCTACCCAGTCATAGAAAACCATTAGAATAGCTCAGTGTATATTTATATCTCAATGTATATTTATAAAAATGCATAGATGGGGAAGAATTATAGAAAAGGGTAATACTGATCACGATGCACTTACATATTGACATGTTGAAATCCCTCTGTACATCTACTTAGGAGATAATACAAAATGCATAGATATCTCATGCTATTTGATAATCTATCTATCATCTATCTATCTATTTAGGTATGTTTTTCCTTTTAGGGAGCTTTTTCATTTGATTTGGAATGTCGGTCATGTATGCCAGAATATAAATGGATGTCTCATTGTTTATTTTAGCCTGAGGTTTTAGCCTTTTGTTTTAAACACAGAATCCTTTTTGTGCACAGGGCGCTCAGCATGTAAACGGGTAAAACACAATTAAGTGGCTCTGTTTGATGAATAGAATTTCAAAAGACAGCCATATTTTTAAAACTTTGAAATATATTGCAAAATTTTTCTCCAGAGAGACCATGAGAGGACATTTTCAATATTTTAACGGAACCAAAAATTCTTTAGACCTTATTTCTCTCTTGGGATATAGAGATTTTCTTTGTGGTTAATTATATGATTAACTCTAAACATATTCCAAAGATAAATAAAGAATGCAGATTCTTCAGAGACTACACACATAGCAACAGCTATTGAATGTATTTAATCATTTTGTTAAAATTTAGAAATTAGTTAACGTTTGTGCATAAGGAAAGATACTCAGCAATTATCTTGTACATGGCTTATATTATTTCAGGACAATTTCATTTTCCATGTAGCTATCCTCATCAGTCAGTTCCCAATAGCCATGGGAAATTATACCCATGTAAATAAGCATTATAAAAGAACTCAATTTCCATCTCCAATTTCACTTTGATTGTACTTACCCACATGTACATTTTTAATGAAATGCCTTTTGTTTTCAGTTTTGCTTTCCCTGCTGCATTTTCTTCTTCTCGGCAGCCCCTTCCCAATCCACTCCACTTGGACTTTGTGTTTACTGGCATATTTTGCTTACACCTGTGCTTTCAATTATTCTGTGTTATTTGTTGTAGGCATATGCCATACAATCATCATGGTCCATATTTTGCTTTTGCGCTCAGAGATAAGAATTTAACTTGTGTATGTTGGACTTAGGTGTATTTTGTGTTTATCTGTTCATTTTGAAAATATAGCCTTTTTACTTATATTTTTTGCACCTTACACGGGTGATCCATTCCATCTGTGTTCAAACAGCCCATAGACAGGTTGAAACATCCTTTAAAAAGAAGACTGAACGCCAACATCTAAAATGTTTTAGAGACTGATGTGATACAAAAATTCCACACTCTATTCCAAATGCCTGATAGCAAAGTCTGGGCCCCAATGATTTTCCTTTTTGGCTAGGGATTGTTTTAATCATCTCTTTGCCAATATATATGCTTCCAATTTTCTCCCACTCCAACCTTTCCTCCCATGTGGCTGTTTGGTGATATTTCTGAATGGCAAATTTGGCATCACTTCTCATGTGGCTCTTGTCTTCAACTAAGAATCCCTTGCCAACTCTACCCAGGTCTTTCATGCTTGGCAGCTCCTTCTACAGTTCCATTTCCCAGGTGCAACCTTTGCACCAGCCACCAATTGGCTCAGATTCCCTAGTGGATGCAGGTTTTCATGCCTCCAGCATGATTTACCTGGAAAGTTTGTGTCTTAGGGGCTGAATATCTCTCTTTTTAAGACCTCCCTGTATTTTCTATCCTTGTTTTCCCTTACCCCACATTTTTGTGTTTCTTTTTGATACAGAGTCTTGCCATGCAGTCCTGATTGGTGTGGAACTTGTATTCTTCCAACCTCATGGTGACTTTATCACTACCCATGCATGAAGCAATTACCATGTATCCACTTAAAAAGAAAATGAGAGATTAAAAAGTCCTGGATATGCTGTTCTTATTTAATGGACCAAAATAAGAAAGCTAGAAGAGACGGGCTAGCTCTTCTCAGCCAAAGTACCAGGACAGATGAATTCCTTAAAACTAGAGCCAGATATCTGGTCCAGGGGATTCTTCTTTTCAAAGATGGGCTTTTATAAACCCCAGGTACATAAGGTAGACTGTTTGCTTTCTTTGGCCTGATTTTTCATTTTATCATGATGGATGTGGAACAATAGATATTCCCAAGAAGAAGGACACATATCAATAACATTGAAGATTAATGATGGAGTTGTCACTTTAATACCAGATGTGAGGGCTCAGGTGGGAAGAATGACCCCTTCAGAGTGACTGTGGGTTATAAAGGGTTTTCTCCTGCAATTGATGGAGTACCCTGGACCATGCCATCTCAACTCAGGTCAATCTGTAACTGCACATTATTCCAGCAGGAAAGAGTAGACATCGGCATGCATCTATAAGCTGCATTGGGAGTTCACAATGCTTGGTGGGGCAACATGGAGCTCTGTGTATTTGGTGCCTTCTATCCTCCTCTCTAGCTCTTAAGAGTTTCTGATCCAGATGATGGCTCTCAAGAGAAAGCCTTTGATGGGCTCTGATCTATAATACATTAAATCACAGTTGGATTTATTTAGTTTTGGCTTCATTATTTCCAGGTCTATGGGATCACATTTTTCCCCATTATTAAATACACATCTCCAAGTTGAGATGTAACTAGACCACTTCTGTAAGATTTTTAATGGTAGGAAGAAAGATACAATCAAAAAAATTTATGACCCAGGGGCAGCAAGTGAAATGAATAGATCGTATTTTTAACCCCAAGATTCATCTCCATGAGTTCAGATAGTCTTCTAAGAAGTGGACTTCACTGAGTCTCTTTGCTGACATGACCTCTCAAAGGCTAAGAGTCTTCTAGAACAGTGTACCCCAAACCAACATGCACACACACTTCCCAGTTCAGAAGAGGTGGGGTGGGGTAGGCTCTTAGATTCGGCATTTTTGAACAAGTTCACAGGCGATGCTAAAGACACAGCAGCTAACACCTAAGTGACCAAATCAAAACACCAGCTCACCAACTCATCACAGTTAACTTTATTCCACAGCATGTTTAAGGGAATGTTATTTTCAGAAAGATGTTTGGGATTAAAATAATTAAAAAAAAACCCTGGAAAGTACACACATTTATGTATCTCTTCTTTTCATTAAATATATATCTGTTCGGCAAAAAAATGTTAGACTCTTTTGTACAAAAAAAAAAAGCAAAAGAAAAAATAACCCCAAACCCTTGCAAATTGTAAATACCTATAATAATTACAACGATGTAAACTTGGATGTCTGACGGCTTGACCATCCCGTGGAACCTGGGTTGCAACAGGAGCAAGGTGACACCAAACCCTTGGGTAGCAACTGCCTGTCTTAGAGGCATTTAGGTTTAGTTTATTAGAGATGAAGCGTGACTACTGATTTCAGTTGTGCTTTGTGCTAAGAGGCTGGTAGCGCGTGTGGAGATGAAGGCAGGTCTGGGCTGGGGCAGGGAGAGGAAGCCCAAGACTAGCTAGCATGGAGGGAATAGGGTGAGGTCACAGTGCAGACATGGTGCAGGCATGGGCTCCTGTTTGGGAGGCTCGATGCTGGCCAAGACTATGATGAGGTTATGGTCACTGTTCTTGAGACCAGAGAGGACCAGGGCAAGGCCAAGGCAGGGGAGAGGGAGGGAAGGAGGAGATCTAAAAGCAGATCTCAACTTAAATAGAACTGGTGGTATTGCGCTGACCCTAGAAAGAGGCGGGGAGGAAGATGGGGCATTTAGTCTTCTGATCAGATAGCTGGGCTATTTCTTCTAGAGACAGGCCTTGGTTTGGTGGGCAAGTTCTGGGGCAGCTTTAACTGTTTTCTTACTCAGCAAGGAGGGTCATGCCTGCCACAGGTGAGGATGGAAAGGCCCCTTGGCTTTCTTATGAGTGGTGGTTGTTAACTCTGTCCCACCAGTGAACTGTAGTGAACCAGAACTTAAAGCAGTGAGTCTGAAAACAGATTCTAAGAGTGGACATGGTACCAGGAAGGGTTGGAAAAGCTTGAGCTAGAGTTGAGGTCAAAGGAAGGGTGGATCTGCAGCTTCTCTCTACTGAAATGTGATGCCAAGGGATGGGCGTGTTTCCTTCTTCTCTCCTGCTAAACTTCCAGACTTCCAGCCTGGAGGTGCATGTCGGTCCTGGCCACTTCAGTTACAGTCGTAGACGAAGTCATAGTTGCTGGGCTCCTTGGGGATGGGAGGAGGCGCGTCGGGGATCTGGATGTTTTCCAGGTCGAGCAGGCGGAGCTTGATCTCCATGCTGAGCAGGGTGTCTAGGTCATTCCGCGTCAGCTCGCTCATCATGTCTTTCCCAAGCAGTGCATTCAGCCCATCTGTCCAGATGCAATACTGGGCAGGAAAAAGGGTAACAGAGACCATTACTCGTGACCATGACACGGCTAGTTGAGCAGTAAGTGGATGTTCTCTGTGTGCTTTGCCTACATCATCATTTACATGCACAGCCTCTCTCTAACATCAACACTTCTGTTATCATCTCTCTTTGACAAACTATAGAGAGCCAAGGCATGGAGAAGTGAAGTAATATGTTAGTGAGCGTAGGGAGATTTGAACTCAGCCAACCTAATTCTGGAGGATTTGGGTTCTTCGTGATTGTGCATGGTAATATTGCCATAACCTCAGGTGAGCCCCTGGCTTTAAGCCATTGATATACATATCCCAGTACTCCTGGACTCAGGGCCAGACCAACCCTGCCCTCTTTCTGATGACTATAACAGTTCACTGTCTTCTGGCTGATGTGTGCCTGCCTGATTTGATTTCTAACATGCAGAGACAGTGGACAAGCTCTGTCCTTACTTTGTGGGTTTTTTTTTTTTTAACCAAAAACCTTCACTTACCCAACATCTGGAAACCAAATGGCCAACACTATTGGTTGATCTTAACAGAGGGAGGGTTGGCTCTTTTCCTGGAAACTTGTTCCACTAGGGTGGTCTCTGGTGCCCAGGGTTTCTCCCCCCGCAGTTTTCTTGGACCTGACCAATTTGGAAAATCCTCTAGAGTCCACAAACTAAGGGTTTGGTTCTTTCCTCCTAAGATTGATCATAGCCTTTTGCCTCTCTGGTAGACTATGAGCTCCTAAGGAGAAGGAATTGTGCTTCATTGATCCAAGGACCTGCCCTGTTCCTGTCAGCTTCCCTCCTACAGGCTGGGATCCTGCTTTGACTGGAAAGAGAATGATGACACTCGGGGACAGAGCTAGACCCTTGCTGCTGGTATCTCAGGAAACTGCCCAGGTTCTGAGTGCTGTGCTTACTTATTCTCTCACTAGGTTGACCCTGGTCCTTTAAAAGACCCTATGACTATCTTGCTCCCTGCTGGTTTGGTCTTCCTTCTCATAGTCTCTGTAGGTGCAATTCCAGGTCTTATTTAGCATTGCATTGTAGCTACCTGGGCTCTGTCCCAGAATATGACAGTAGATGTCATTTTTGCATTCACTGAAATCTTATAAATTATGAAAAATTATGGAAGAATTATGAAATTATATAACGCTTGTGTCATGCATGATGGAAAGCTTCCAGGAGGCATGTCAATGCCATTGCCTTTAAGTGAAGAGGTGTACCAAGGAATATCTGAAGACTCATGTCTGAGGGAGGGCAATGTTGAACTTGATGGCTTTGATTCTACAATGGTAAAGGGATCTCAGCCAAGGTATCCAACCCATCTAAACATAGGTTTGGTGCTAAGGAATTTCTCCAAGCATCAGTGTCCTCATGAGTATCTGAGCCAGATTCTGATCGTGTCTAACCATCTGTTTTCTCACAAATAACCTTGTTAGAAATAGATACCTAGTTCTTATACTAGAGATCCTTATTCTGTCAATGTGGGATAAGGGAGCTTTATTTGTAAAAGCTTCCCAGATTATTCTTATGAACACTCATGGATGAGCTCTGGTAGGTCCCTCCCAGCTCTATCACTATTTTATGGTAATCTCTGAATCCCAGGATTACTGCCTTAGATACACAGCCTTCTGAGCCCTGGCCAGTTTCCTGGTATAGATTAATTAACCCATAGGAACATTGCTTTTGAGAAGCAGCAGGCACAAAATATTTTATTAAAAATTGTATCTCCAAATAACAACCCTGTAGTACTGAATTGGAATTGGAATTATCAGTACCAACCTATGATACATTTTACCTTTCAAAAAAAAAAATCACATTTTCTGGTTACCTCCTTTGCTCAAAGCCTCAAAACAATGGCCCAGTGGTAATAAACCTAAGGTGTGCTCTGATTCTAGTTGCTAACCACCATCACCTATTCATTAAAAGTAACCGGGTTCCACAGAGAACAGATGAGAGAACAGTCAAGATGAACATGGAGTATCCTGTCACTTTACAGTAAAGTGACAGGAAGTTACCAAAAATCTAGAGGTCATGTCATTAGGACTCATAAGCCATCTGGAGGGGGAAGTAGTGTCCCAGGTAGGATGACCTGGCCATGACCCCATGGCAATAACTGTGGCCTATAGGGACACAAATGTACTTAACTCCACAACTTCATAATGATACACAAAGTCAGATGCATGCCTCACTGGTCTTCTTCAGACATGTTTATTATTTACAAAACCGGAAATGCCTGTCACATATATGCAATCAAATAGTCTATAAGACCTTTCTATTTACTCATCTATGAGAATGGAAAGATGGAATTGGTAATGTCAACCTTTTTTAGCCTCACAGGATGGATAACTTTTTGCTGCTAAGGCCCATTTGGATATTTATAGCATCATGTGTTGCCTACACAAAGTTATGCACACAGGTAAAGGGCTGCGGGCAACCTAAATGAAGCATATGTGCTCATTCTATCACATACCAAATGATTTTGAAGGCTTTACATGGCCGCCAGGCTGGACATTTGCCACCCCTGCTCTAATGGATCTAAGGATCAAAGCAATGATCGCACGAGGCTCCTAACATTTAAAGAAGAGGGCCAAGAAGGCAAACTAGAAACTGCTATTTCTGTTGCTTAAAAAGTGACTTTGCATCTGGTCAGTTTTCTGACTACTCGTCTATAGGAAATACTGGGAACAGATGGAGATACAAAATAATGTTGCCAGTTGGGGTGGACAGAAAAATATCTGCCTTTCAAAGATGTCCACACCCTACTCCCTGGGGTTTGAGAAGATCTTCGGCTATGTGTCACGTGCCTGTCAGCCCCAGTGATTGCAGTCCAGGACTGCCTGCAAAAAGTTGTCAGAGGAGTGGCTCAAGTGGTAGATCACCTATCTACCAGGGGAGCAGATAGAGCACAAGATCCTGAGTTCAATCTCTATTACGGCCCAAACCACAAACAAACCATCAAGTCACTATTTTGTATTTTCCACTTGGGTCCAATGCAATCCCAAGGTTCCTTAAAAGTGCAAACAAGAAGCTGGGCAGTGGTGGCTCACACCTGTAATCCTAGCTACTCAGGAGGCTGAGATCTGAGGATCATGGTTCAAAGCCAGCCTCGGCAGGAAAGTCCATGAGACTCTTATCTCCAATAAACCACGAGAAAACTGGAAGTGGTGCTGTGGCTCAAGTGGTAGAGTGCTAGTCTTGAGCTGAAGAGCTGAGGGATAGCGCCCAGGCCCAGAGTTCAAAACCCACAACCACCACCACCAACAACAAAAAAGTGCAAACAAGAGAGGAGTCAGTGAAGTGCAAGGCAGGGGAGCTTAGACCATAATGGAGGAGGTTAGAGTGATGGATGAGAGGGCTCAATCTTTCATCACTGAGACTGATGGAGGCCAAGGACAGGGAAGGATTCTGACAGACCCTAGAGATACACAAGGCAAGGACACAGATTCCCCCTGGTACCTCAAGAAATAAATGTAATCTGCTGCCATCTTGGTATTTGCTCGGGGAGACCACTAGAATTCTAAGACAATGAATTTGTATTGTTAAGATTCAAGCCGAGTTTGTGCTAGGTTGTTGCAATAGCAGCAGTAAACAAAGACAGAGTTGACAATCAGCACTGTCTAGACCATCCACAATGCTATAGGAGTAATGACCTGATTCCTTCAAAAAATGCCAGACAAGGGGGAAAAAAAGACCATTATGTAAATGATTGTGTGAGAAAGAGAGGAACTTAAAGAAACATGAAAAGCAGGCCAACCAAAAACAACATCTCTAGACATATTATTTTGTACAAAGTATACAAGGAAAAACACACAAATTAGACAATTAGAGAAATGTGAAAATGGACTGTGCTGGATGGGGTTAAAACCGCCAAGAATTAGTTTAGGTAAGGTAATAGCATTGGAATTATATTTCCAAATGAAGTCTACCATTGAGATATGAACTGAACTTGCTTTAAAGTCATCTTAGGGGTGACAGCTGGGAATGGGAGAATGAGAGGTGATGGAGGTGCAGATGAATCCAGACAGATTCAGACCTGGTCAGTGCTGAACTCCAGTAAGTGAACTGCCCTGAAGTCCTGCCATTGCCTGGTATCTTATGACAAGGAGCTTTCTGAGCCAGACTGCCAGGGTTCAAATCCAAGAAACTCCTTGAGTGGCTTTGGGAAGTCTCTAGACATCTCTGTACCTCATTTTTCTTCTTTACAAAATGGGGATAGTACTGGTTTGTTTGTCTTAGAGTTCTAGAAGGATTGAGTAAGGATAGATCTACCTATCAGCCTATTTCCTTCATTCTCTCTCTACCTATCTACCTGTTTATTTACTTATCTGGCCTGGTACAAATTGGGTCAGGGAAATTATAATTAGCATTATCCTTTCTGTTGTTGAAGTACTCAGCTTGGGCGCTCTTTTTCCTTTGATAAATAAGGATTATGTGTAACAGAACTTTCTTTTTTTTTTTTTTTTTTGTCCGGTTGTGGGGCCTGAACTCTGGGCCTGGGCACTGTCCCTCAGCTCTTCAGCTCAAGGCTAGTGCTCTACCACTTGAGCCACAGCGCCACTTCTGGCTTTTTTCTTTCTGCTTATGTGGTGCTGAGGAATCAAACCCAGGGCCTCGAGCACGCAAGGCAAGCGCTCTACCACTGAGCCACCTTCCTAGCCCATAACAGAACTTTCTATTTTGTGAAATGATGACAAAAATAAATGGAGGTAATAGATACACAAGTGTTTTGGAGGAATTAAAAGTATCCATACATGCATGACATTTTTCTTCTCAGCGCATCTGTAAGAAGTGGTAGAAATGAATAGAGAGAAACCTGCCACTCACTGAGCATTTGTCCTTACGTGGGATTAATGCTCACACAGGAGAAAACAGCCTGGCACATATTTAAATAACAGTCCAAGTTCTACTGTGCTAAGTAGCTTTCTATACTGTTCTATATATCTTCAATATGTTGGCCCGGGCATGATCAAAATTTTATTTAAAAACAGAAATAGTAGAACACAGAATCTATTTTCAGGAAGATGAAGACAAAGTCTTACCCTTCTGAAAACTAAATGTCAAGTGACACAGAATTATATTTAAGCACCATTCTAAATGCAAGATTTGTGTCTAATCTTTTCTCCTTCCTTGGGATGTGCAATTTAATTCCAAAGCTTCAAACCAGTAGAAACCAGATACTAAATACCTTCTAAATGAGCTGAATCTCCTCAGGGAAATGGAGAACAAAAGTCAGATTCTATTAAAATTCTCCCTTCCTTTCTAAAAGCTGTTTATACGGTTACATGCAAAACAAAAATTTGAATGGTATCGTCTAAAAATAAAAGTTTCTAGCACGGTGTATGGTTCTACTTTACAAGAGAAAAAGTTAAATCAACCATAACTGCTCCATTATCTTACAAATGCATTTTCCAAGATTTATGCTAAATATTTTAAATATAGCTGACAGCGTGTTTCAAGAAGAGAAACAAATTATACATATAACAAGATGTCAAAAAGGAATAAAAGCATCTTGGAAATAAAATTCCGACAGCAGAGATAGCTCTAAACCTCTTAAAATAGCTTAAAGAAACTTGGTAGAGATCTACTTCATCAGTGTTTTAAAGAATAGAGTCTAGCTTATCTTGGGAAAATTTAGAACAAAGACAAACAATTCAGGGAAAACCAAACCTGTACACCAGGCAACCTCTTGCTCTTGGTGTACAGTAATGCCTTTGCAGAATTGGAAGCATTTGGCATCTATTTTCTTAGTTTGGACCCTGAATACCCACCAGAGAGAGATGTGTGTTAAAGGCTGCTAGCCAGTCTGCTGTGCTAGTGAGGGGTGGTAAAATCTTTAGGGGTTGGAGCCCAGTAAAAGGAAGTTAGGGCACTGGAGGGTGTGGTCTTGAAGAGGATTGGGATTAGAATGATGATCCCTTCTTTCTGACTCCCTCTCCTCTGCTTCCTGGCTCCCATGAGGTGGGCAGCTTCCTCCTTTACCTACTCCCACCATGACTGGCTTGCTACAGATCCAAAGGCACATGGGACCAAGTGCCTATTATACATGGAAACCACTGGAATTGTCAGCCAAAACAAACTTTTCCTTCTTCTAAAGCAATTGCCTTGTGTGTTTTTTCCTTGTCACAGTTGAAAGATGACTAACACCTAGGAACTAGCAATCTAGCCAGAAGCTGGACTTAAGGATCTACCAGTTTTCCAGTTTCCCAAGGTGTTGGAGGTCAACACCTTGCTTTATGCATTCCTCAGGATTTTAAAAAATATAATTTCTTCCTTTTGCTTGTTGTTATTTTTCTAAAGCTAAAGTAATATTCTTTCACAAGTTATCCCCCTTTGAGACCCTTACCTCATGCTTGTCAGGAGCAATGAAGTTCAGTTGGCAGTTGGAGTCATACAAGACAGAGAAAGCAAGTTCAAGCACCTCCTAGGAGAGATTAGAGAAAACACCACATTCATCTCAGGTAAACAACTCTGGCTGAGGCACTCAAGGTCATCTCTAATCTGCATGTTAAAATATTTCTCCAATTATATGCAGTGTACCAATATAGGGTCTGCATTCTCAGCCAGAGTAGACAGCTGAGTTGAGCCGCTGACACATCAGAGTGAGAAGCAGAGCTCAGCACCCTGGTGCTCCTGATCTGGACAGGAAGAGCCGAGTGTCTTCACCCCAGCACTCACTCCACCAGAAACAGAGACCCTCAAAGAAAAGACTAAGGAGTTGCAGAATGGGAGCTCTTATGCAAAAATTCCTCTCCTCATTTCTTTGCCTTATTCATTTTCATCCTTAGGCTTCAACTCAGGCTTATGTGAAGAGAATACATATTAAAGAAACACACACACACACACACACACACACACTTCCACCTTAAATCTGGCATTTGTTTCCACAGCCCTATCCCTTGGGTCTTTTAATTTATAATTAAAATGGTCACGGTCTTACTTGTAGTGCTATACAGATATAATCCTTTTTTTTTTTTTAAAGCAATAAAGCAATGCATAACAAGAACCAAGGATCCCACTCCTGCCATTATTCCTAAAACGAAATCCTAAAACAACCCAAAAGGTATATATTATTACTCACAAGAAAATGATGAGTGACTAAATATCTCTCTATCCTTTGGATATGAAGGAAATCACAAATTAGCAGCTGCGAGGAATATATGTGGTCAGTTATCCAGTAAGACAATTAGGAATATTAGCTGTGAAGGGAAAAAAGCTAGAGGAAGATGACCACTGAGCCGTTGATATGCCCTATGGCTGCCATCCACTGGCTAGAAGCTGGCATGCGAAATGAAAATTAAGACAAGGTGCTGGGATCAAAGGTCATTCTTTCATCTCAAAACATGGTTTTGCAATTGAGCATTGTGTTCTGATCTCCTATGTTAGTGGACATTGTGCTCAGATTAGAAATGCTTTCTTTACTAGTCTGAGACTTGCTCACTGTGGAAAGCCAGAGTCATATTTGAAAAGGGAGAGAAGGGAGAGAGGATTGCTTTGCTGTGGACCCACAGGTTAGAATTCATCAAGGCCTCACTGCCTGACCCTGAATGACAGCTCCAACTTCACTTGGGGAAATGACATACAGCAGCTGGGATAAATGCCACCACAGCCCAGCCTGGTCCTCAAGACTAGGTGTCAAAGTCTCTAGGGACCAGAATGTCATCATGTAGGCCTATGACATATTCTCTTCTGCAGAGGGGAAGAGAAGGATGGAGAGGAGGAGGAAGGAGCTCACTGACTTTGTGCTCCGTTCTTGTGTAGCATAGACTGCTCAGGATGTGAATGAGCCAATCTGTCATGCCTGAGGTTCCTGATAAACACAGGCAGGGAACAGGAAATAAGTGAGAACGTCAATCCCCACTTTAATTACAGCAAGGTCATCTTCAGGAGAAGGAGGGGAGGAAGGCATCCATGTGAGAGTGTGCTATCACTTCTAATGGGTTTTTATCGATGTCCCCGGCTGGTTGGCATTGAGTCACTGGTGGAGGTCAGCTCTGTGGCAGAGCCTGGAGCGATGGCACCTCTCAGGCCAACACTCCAGAAGGCGTCACTGTCTAAGCTGCCTGGGAGGAAGAGAGGCGCCAGGTGGTAGCCGAGCAGAATGTCATGGATCTGGGACAGTGTCCACCCTGAGAGCCACCTGCTAATGAGGCCAAGTCATGCCATGGGGCCTTGCTGCTCAGTAATGGAGGCCCTCCATTCCCTCTGGATTTCATACAGGGAAAAATTCACCCAGGGGAACCTTATCTTCATCCTGTTCTGCTAATGCACTCCAACTTCCCTGCCCTGTGGAGGAAGGTTCTGGATCTGTGGGGTTCTAGGGATGGAAGAGGCTGTAAAGACTGAACATCCCTCCATCTCCTGGGTCTCTGGGCCTACGCTCCAGCTTCTGGTCCTGCGAGCAGGGAGAAGGCACAGGATCAGAGATACAGCACGTGGCTCAGGAGGTATTTGGGTGTGGATTCTCCAACAGGCCAAAAGATGGACCAACATGACAAGGAGAGTTTACACAACCTATTTTCAGGACATGGGGGCTGCTGTCTCTGCCCAATGTTTGGAATAACTTAACCAGTACTCAGTAGATGATACTGAAGAAGGGTTCCTCATCTATCCAGGACATCTTCAGGGACAAGCATTTTGATGGAAGACACAGGATGTGGTCTGGCATTCAGGTAGGTACTAAATATACCATATAAGTGTGGAAGACTTTGTAGCTTTATCTACATACCTGTGAATTTGAGTTTCTATTTATTATTATTATTATTATTATTATTGTACTGGGGACTGAACTAGGGTCTTGTGATCACTAGGCACTTGAAAGTCATACTTCCAGTTCTTTTTGCTTTTATTTTTCAGATAGAGTCTTGATATTTTTTTTGGAGGGAGGGGCTTGGGCCAGCCTAGACCACAGTCTTCCTCCCCAGACTTCCCACACAGCTGGAAATATAACATATGCCGCCACATCTGGCTTGTTCTCTGAGGTGAGTTCTCACTAGTTTCTTTTGCCCCGGCTGGCCTGGAACTGCTTCCCAAGTAGCTGGGATTATCAGACATAAACTACCAGGCTCAGTTTCTATTTTAAATTAGAAACTAATTAAAGTGAGGACTGACATTCTTGCTTTAAAATGAGTTTCTATTTTAAAAGGCAAAACCAAAAAAAATCACTCATTCATGTAGCATGGAACAGAAGAGACTGTCTTTATCAGACAGCTATGTTGTTCTGGCTTTGCTCTATCTTAACAATAATATCAGCTAACAATTCTCCAACCTGTCCCTGTCTGACGTATGTTTCCCAATCAGAGAGCATTCTTCCTTGTGTGGAAAGGTCTCTTCACACAGTTCTCTCCATCTAAAAACTCTTTCCCTTGCTTCTCTACCTGACTAATCAATGCTTTTCAAAACCCAGTTCAGGTGTCATTTCCTCTATGAGCTGCTCTCAACTCTCCCTGGCTATCTCTTTGTTTATTTGTTCTGGCTGAGGTGATGAATTTGTAATTGCACATTGACTTGCAAGTCTCATCTGTTTGACACCCAGGGCTAGGGGCTAGGCTGTATTTATCTTTTGATTTCAATACATATACTGAATAAATGAATGATGAATGGAGAGCATCTGACTAATCTGAATAAAAGGGCTTTTGGAGAAGATCAGCAGTTTGAAGCTGATGCCAAGATATCAAGCTTCTAGTAGAATCTGCTTCTATTTTAGGTTTAAGAATCACACTGGAGAAACCAAAGCCTGGTTCTGGTACACGGGAAGGTGCTAGCTTCTCTCCCACCAAATATACTCCTATCTGAATGAGTTCAAATCCCTCTGGTGATTATACAATGACTATCTAACTATAATCCCAGATCCAGAGAGATAAGAATCAAGAATGCCCAACTTAAAACACAGCTGCTGTGGTGTTTAATCTGATTTTATACATTTCAGAACTGAATTTAGAATCCTTAGTACTTAAAAGCAGAAATCTTGAGGTTGAATTCCCATCCACCCAGGACCATTCATTTCAAGTATCAGTGGGGAAGTTTTCTTTGTGTGAAGAACTCAGAACTTTCTGGTTTCCATAGACATTTCCCATTGTCCCTACCCCTGTAAATCATGTTCAATTCTGAGGTCCAGGAAATTAGGCCACAGAATGCTCACCATTCTCTGTCCACAGCTTGGAAGTCTGTAGGTTTGTGTTAAATTTCCAACAATTTTGTAAGATTTTTTTTTTTCTTTTTAAGCTACCTTTTCTGTTATTGATGTTGACTTTCTATGTGATCTGAGATAGGATTAGTAGGGTGTTATTATTAATTTAAAATATATTTCATGACCTGCTATGTGGTCTGACTTGGTGATACTTACGACAAAGGGCACTGGGCACTGGCTTAGCTGAGCTCATTTTGTCCTCTCTGGTTTTATTTCTACCTCATTGACTTTTCCCTCTGGATTCACTCTATTCTGCAGTTATTCTGGATTTCCAAGAATAACAGAACCAATCAATATACACCTTTAGAAAAAGGGACTGCCATCACCCTAGAGTGATAGCAAACCTTTCAGGACAGATTATACCCCAATGAGAGGGCAATTATCTATGATGGTGAAACTGTACAGGAGAGCAGGGGTAATCATCTCCTAAGAATCAGACTGCTCCCCTCAAATGACAGTGGCAACAACTTCTTCAGACTCCCTCACACAATCAGAGCTGAGATAACATTGATCTATCAGTGGCCTGACTGAGATACATCCTCTGTCCACTGTGCATAGCTCAAGTTCTTCATTTGCTTCTCTTTTCGCTAAAATCTCTAACATCTTCCCTTTTGCCCCTTGAAGATGGACTTGGGTCACTGAACCCCAGTATGCATTCTTCCCAACACAACAATGGTGAAATCTCTTCTCTTTGTCCTTAGCCAGTATTTGTCTATCTGGCCTATTGGGATGAGTGGCTGAAGCTGGTCTCTGGGGATCCTAGAGCTAGTTTCTGCCTTAAAATTCTGATAACATTTCCTGTTATGTTTGAGAAGAATGTGTATTCTGCTGTTTGTTGGGTGGATTATTCTATTAGTGTCAATTAGATCAAGTGGATTGATGGTGCTCTTCAAGTCATCAATATTCTTGTTGATTTTCTGCCTGCCTGATACATTGATTACTGAGAGAGAAATGTCAGCGTCTCCAATACAATAATGGATTTGTCTTATTTCTCCTTTCAGTTCTATCAGCTTAAAGACTCACATATTTTGATGTCTTCTTGTTAACTTCATACAAGTGTAAGGTTGTTATCATTTCTCAGGCCTATTGATAATTTGTATTAAAATCTGACTTGCCCTAACCTTTCTTTACCCTACTGTTTTTAACTTATTTTAATCTTATATTTAAGGTGTGTTTCCTGTAGACAAGAAAGTAGTAGGTTTTGATTTGCTTCTTAAAGTTAGTTTGAACATTTGTATAATCAATATTTCAGGCCATTTAAATTTAAGGTGATTATTGATACAGTAAGATTAATATGTCTATCTTGTTACCTCTTTTCTGTTTTGTCTTTGTTTTCTTGTGGGGTTCCCCCTCTTTTTAGCTTTTTAAAATAATTGTGTATATAATTTTCTCTTCCTATCCCTTATAACTTCACTATTGTTCACTTTACTTTTCCATATACTTTAAATATCCAATCCTGCTGTGACCTTCAACAACAAGCAATTACCTTTAAGAGGAATTAAGCAGTTGATTTTTATTTTTTCGGTCGTGGGGCTTGGGCGCTGTCCCTGACTTCGTCAGCTCAAAGTGAGCACTCTACCTCTTCAGCCACAGCACCACTTCTGGTTTTCTAGTGGTTTATTGGAGATGAGAGTCTCACAGACTTTCCTGCCTGGGCTGGCTTTGAACTGTGATCCTCAGATCTCAGCCTCCCGAATAGCTAGGATTACAGATATGAGCCATCGGCATCCAGCTGCAATTCATATTTTTATTTTACCTTCATTATGGTTTCTCTTATTCTCTTTCTTTCTTTGTGTAGATATAAGTTTTGATCAACATAATTTTTCCTATAGTGAGCCAATTCTTGCATGTTGTCTGTTTTTTCCATAAGAGTCCATCACATTTTAAATTGCAGTTATTTTAAATTCCACGCCTGATAGTATCTGTATTGTATGTGAACCTGGCTCTGATGATTACTTTTTGTTGTTGTTGTTTAATGCTGGTACTAGGGCTTGAACTCAGGACCTGAGTGCTGTCCTCAGGCTGGAGCTCTACTACTACAAAAATCCAGAAGTAGAACTGTGGCTCCAGTAGTAGAGATCCTACTGGAGCCACAGTTCTACTTCTGGATTTTTGGTGGTTGACTGGAGAAAAAGGCTCACAGACTTGAACCTTGATCCTCAGACTTCAGCCAACTAGCACCAGGCCATTGTTTTATTTTTTGTCTTGCTATTGTCTTCTTTCCTTTCTTTCTTTCTTTCTTTCTTTCCCTTCCTTCCTGGTTTTCTTTCTTTCTTTCTTTCTTCCTTCCTTCTTTCCTTTCTTTCTTTCCCTTCCTCCCTTCCTTTCCTTCCTTCCCTCCCTCCCTTCCTTCCTTCCTCTTTCTCTCTTTCCTTCTTTCCCTCTCTCCCTCCCTTCCTTCCTTCCTTCCTTTCTTTCTTTCTCTTTCCTTCCTTCCTTCCTTTCTTTCTTTCTTTCTCTTTCCTTCCTTCCTTTCTTTCTTTCTCTTTCCTTCCTTTCTTTCTTTCCTTTCTCCTTCCTTCCTTTTTCTTTCTTTCTTTCTGCTTCTATTTTTTTGTTGCAATCTAGACACATTATTTCAGGTAACAGAAACAGACCTCCGAATGATGATTTATGATAATCTGGCAAGGAATGCAACTATTTTTCATGGTTGTTGTAGCTATCAGAAACAGCAAATCCCTATAGTATCCTTTGTCTCCTTCACTGACTTTGGCTTTCCACAGTATTTCACAGAGTGCACCTTGATTACTTTCCAGCTCTACTTTGCTACTATTATTTTAGAGTCTTGTAGATGCTGATGGCAGGGAATGAGGGAGGAAGGTATGGCAGCATTCTATAATCTTCCAGTTAGTCTCAATCTTTTAGGGAGTCCTGTGTCTTGAGCCTATGACCTTTCTAAGAGTTTCTCCAGTAGTGTGGGTTTGTTCCTCCTGTCCCCTCCCCTTTTCCTTGGTTGCAAAATGTCTAAACAATTTCTATGATTCCCACATCACTGCTGACCACGTCTCCCTCACCAGCAACCCCAAAGTTGAGAGAGGGATGCTAAGAAGGGGACACACTGAGGGACTCCTTTCCTGAGTGGGGATAAAGACTGCAGAATAGGATTTTGTTGTTCTGAAGAAGGTTCTGGCATATTGACATGTATTCATAAACATGCCATAGGTGTTCATGCTGTTTAGGGCCCTAATATTTTCTTCCCCAGGTGTTTTCTCTCTCTCTCTCTCTCTCTCTCTCTCTCTCTCTCTCTCTTGGTGCTAGTCTTGGGGCTTGAACCCAGGGCCTAGGCATTGTCCTTGAGCTTTATCTGCTCAAGGCTGGTGCTCAACCACTTAAACCATAGCTTTACTTCCAGTTTTTGGGGTGGTTAATTGGAGATGAGTCTCACAGACTTTGTGGCTTTCAACTGTGATCCTCCAGTCTCAGTCTCCTGAGTAGTTAGGATTACAGGCATGAGCCACCAGCGCCTGGCTGGTTGTGACTCTCTTGATGACCCCACATTCCACGTTCCATGTTCCAGGTGAGGGTTGGTCCACCTGAATCTTCAGTTCTCTGCTAGGTCTAAGGACAGATGTTGCTCTCACTTCACTCAGCTTCTTCCTCCCTAAGGATGGAGTGACAAGCTCTGAAGCTCTTTCCAGGCAGGGGCTGAAGCCAGAACCAATTTTACAGAATGGTCAGTCCCTGCATGGCAAGCCAAAGTCCTGGCAAGTTGTTCCCATGTCTGGGCCTTCCCTAGGTGACTTTCCTGTAGGCTGTCAATTTCCCCACATTGTTTTCTGCTCCGCTGAGTGCTACACAGCTAAGGGATCTCAGCTGGAGCTGGCTGTGAGGGAATACTTGACACTAAGGACAGCCAGTCTCACAAGAGACAAACCATGAAAGCTGAGGACAGGCTACTGTGAAGGATGCTCCTGGAAATCCAACATCTCTCCACATCATGGAGAAGAGACATGGCAACCCTGACAGGTGCTGAACAACAGAAAACCCACAGCCCAAGCCTCTCGAATGTGTCCCAGCCTCATTAGGTTTGCCACGGTAGCACATTCTATGACAGTGTGCTGACATACTTAACCCGGCAGGAATGCAAATGGACTTGAGATCAATTATACTTACGTGACTTATGAGGCAAATACCTGCAGACAGCTCCCATGGCTGCACCCCTCCTCCCATGATACTCAGCAATACTTTGAACTCTGTCTCCCCTCAAGTGTAGATGCAGACATGCTGCAAAGACTCAATGTCCCCTTATTTTACAGCATTGGGAATTGCAGATTGATTGGTTGGTAAGTAAGATGTTCATCATTTTTGTATTTCCCTTAAATATTGATACAGGAAATAAACACAAAACTTATTGATCCACTAGACATTTTTGGCACCGGGATTCCTGGAGAAGCCACATAAATGTAAATACTTTTTTTGAGACAGGGTCTTCCTCTGTAGGCCTGGCTATCTTCAAATTCAAGGTGACCCTTGAACTCTCAATCTTATTTGTCGGTCCCCTAAGTGTTGGGATTATAGGTATGCATCACAATGCCTGGCTATATCTGGGCACATTTGTTCATGGATGGTATATTTCACAAGAAGCCAAAAGATAAAAGCACAGAACTGACTTCCTGATGGGCCCTCGGAGGGCAAAAACATTCAAGCTAGACGAAATATTCTCTCTACCCTCTGTAATGGAGATCATCATGGTGACAGCTAGTTGGTAATGAGGAAGGGATGGGAATATTTGATAACTCCTCTCCGGTGTGTTTGAGATATTTCACTGCCTACTTTTCTATCCTGCTGAAGGAGATCAAGTCCTTCATGTTTTCTCTGAGTCATCTGGTCTCTAACCTGTCCCAGGCTTCATTGAAATTCCAGTGAGGCTACCATGTGGTGATTTTGGGAAAGGAGAGTTGAGGACACTTGGAGAAGACAGAGTAAAAAGAGCTATGGCAATTCCCAGGGTTGGAAACAGAAAGGAAATGAACGAATGGAAGAGATGGGGGAAATTAGAGGCATGGCCAGGTCGAAAAGGAATAAGGAAAAGAGACACTCAATGAATCAGAAAAGGAAGGAGCACTCAAACACAACTCACAACTCTCCATCACACACACACACACACACACACAGAGTGCGTGATACACAGATCTAGTACAGTTGCTGACTGCACTGGGCAGATACAGCTATTTGTGATCATTTGGGAGTCATACCTTGTTTTGTTTAAGGGCACCTTTCTCCTTCATATGAGGGCAGTCCTTTCCAGTCACCACCGCTTTGATATCGGCTACTGGCACTGCACGGAGTAAAAGACAAAGTCATGACACCATTGAAAAGCTTTGCTGTCAATAAGGATAAAAAAATAAAAAAAAATCAGGTTTAAGTATGGAGTCTCCTACCATAGCTGCCATTCCTAGAAACTGCTGCAAAAAAAAAAAAAAAAGGAAAAAAATATGAGAGGTGAAAGGAAGAAGAGAACCAAGGCAGTGTTCCAGAACTGGAGACTGAATGTAAGTATATCCTGTAAGTACATTCTGGCCCAAAGCATCACTGGGAGAAGAGCTATTTCCATAATGAGCATTTGTTTTTACTCAAACAAAGTTATAAAATCATGTAACTTGGGACAACAGTGGTTGTAATAGTGATGGTGGTACCAGTGCTGTCCTGCCCGCAGGCCTCCGGGTACCAGGGATAATACCGTGTGCTTTTCACATGTTGGCATCTCCTGCTTCTGCACTGATGCAGTGAAAGAGTTTGGGATAATTAGGAAAAGCAGTCCTGTCTCACAAGTGTTACCCAACTCTAAACAGCTGTGAACTCTCATTCCCCAGTGTCTCCCTCTTCTCACAGTTCTGTAGGGTGGATTTGACCAAGACACCTATTTTATAATGAAATGAAACTCAATTAAATGAAGGGAGCCTTCCTTCCTGATAGAGAATTCTGAAAATAATACAGTTAGATAGAATGACGTTATCTCAGAGCTTACTCACTCACCAACTGGAACATAGTAAGAAAAGATATTTTAAAAAGTTGAAAACTTTTAAAACCTATAAGCGAAGATAAAACGAAGTAGAGTAGTTCGGAGTTTTGTTTCAAAGAAAAACAAAACAAATCTGTTAAGCCTTCCTTCCTTCTTGTATCCTTAATCCCTCTATCTTTCTACCAAGCAATCATGAACCAGGAACACAAGTGAACTGGCTTGGCTGTTACCAAAGGTGGGAATTTAGGATCTAGTAGTAATCAATTCTTTAGACTCCTTCAATGATGGAGTGAATGAAGAATTTCATAGCTAAAGCTTGCCTACTTTTATTGAAACTGTTCATAGGGTTGATAGTTAAATCTAGAGAATTTATGGAATGTTAAAAGAACAGAGCAGAAGCACTCTTGAAAGGTAACATTTTCCTGGTACTCTAAAAGTTCTAAGGATTTGGTCCAAATCTGTCGACATCCCTGGAGCTCAGGAATGGAGTCTAAGAAGAGTGAGGCTGTGATGCAGACTTCCCTACCTCATCCACTTCTTGAACTTGAAGTCCTAATTCTAGGCAGATCTCACTGGGCAATATTTGGCTTTTCTCTCCTGTTGTCATAAGGGAGACTACATTTCCCAAGAACCTTTGAAGTTAGGTGGAATCATGTGACTCATTTTGGCCAATGAAATGTAAGAGGAAGTTCTTGATGCTGAGGCAGTGAAAGGTCCTAGTCCTCCAGTCTATCTTCCATGTTCTAACCAGATGGTGCAGCCATGGGTGGCAAAGCTGCCCCTGGCCTGTGTCCCTGAGTGGCTGTGTGGAACAGTCCTTCACCAACGCACATAAGTTATATAAGAAATAAGCTTTTGGTGTGCTGAGACATTAAGATTTGAGGGTTGTTTGTTTCTATAGCATAATGAGGCAGTGCAGCGTTTTCTGACTGGTATAATCCTTTACCTTGAATGCCTTTTCTGCTTCTCTATGCTGGATAAGCATAGAGAAGAAAGAGGCACTATGTCGTCTGCATACATAGTGGCTAGATACCCAGCAACTGCAGAGCTGGATATCAGGTGAACGTTCCAACAGCAAAAAGTATAAGACCTCCTCAAACTAGTTGGGAGCAACATAGCCTACTGAAATGACCACTTCAGTATCAAGCCATGTCCCTATCATTAGCTGCTCCCATCGTGCATCTACTGCCAGCACACATAAAAAAATCCTATACTTATTTTTAAAAATTGGAGAAAACTCTATTCCAGGAAAGCCTGAACCCTTCCTGGAATTCCTTGACTTTTCCTAACCTTGCCTCCTGAGTAAAGTTTGTCCATAAGAAAGGTTACCCAAGTCCTGCACGAAGCAACTCTCTCTCGAAGTCCAGACTCCCTCCTAAGTGGGTACTTGTGCTCTGTCATACAACTTCCCCCTAGTTTCTTTATCTCATATCTGAATTCTTTCTTTGACAGAGACCACAACCTGGAAACACTGGGTAATCACCTCAATCTTTGTCTCTGAGACCTCCCCAAACTTCACTACCAGCAACATTTCTGCCATGTCCCCTTTGGGTTGGCTTCTTCCTATATGTGATCTCGATTATTCTGGAACCTTCCTTTGGTCATTAAGAATGACTTCAGTCTCCTCAAGTCCATTTTCATAACCAAGACCTGGCCTTGTTTCTCTCAGTGTCTGTTTCAGCCGCCTAATCGTCATGACATTGGGGCACATTAGGACATTTTGGGAAGTCGGTTAAACGTTCAATGGAGTCACTGAAGTGAGTTTTTTTTTTAAATAAAATATAATTCCATGCCAGTTCAAGAAAACCTCCTCAAGACTTGCATGGAGTCTGAATCACAAATACATTGTACAAAATCCTTTGTTATGGTATATTACATTGTTAATGAACTGAAGAAAGTGTCTACAATGTACAAATTACTGCTTGGAATTGAAAAGTCATCATACAGAATGGGCAACATACAGAATAAAAAAAAAAATCCTGACATGACATCAGTCTTCAGACTCTCCAATGGGAAAATTTCAAACAAGAGATTTCTTTTCATTGAGGTCTTTTTTTTTTTAAAAAATGAAACAATACAAATTTTATCTTTTAAAATACCCATTGTCCCTCATCAGAGAGAGAAGCTGCTTTGTCACTCATAAGATAATCACTAAGAAGAACAGACAACAAACCTCAAAACCACATTGTAATTCTGAAGGGTTGTCCTTTTACATAGTTTGTCACTAGATGCACTGGAGTTGTAGGCCTGGTTTTGTAAAACCACTGTCCTGTCTAGTCCTAAGAGGTCAGACTCGTGTTTCTTGAATTGACACTTTACCGGGCAGCAGAGGTTCTTCTGGACTTCAAAGCCCAACTAGTGATTTGATCAGAGCACTTTATGTGGGAGGAAGAGTAAGTGGGGCACAGATAAGAGAGCTAGAGAAGTCCCTAGTGAGAGAAACACCCACTCCACCTCCCCACACCCTGGGCATGGTCTCCTTTCTTATAATCACTCAGCTAGAACTGGGTTGACACAATCTTAATTCAACATTGCCAGTTTACAGATGGAAAGACTGAGTCTTTCAGAGAGACAATTGATTATGCATTGCCACAGATAGTAGGGGACAACATGGGGTCAATTCCTCCATGCTTCCCTCATGATTTCTGTTTGGGGGAAGTGTCAACACCCTAAATCGTGCTGAGAACACCTCCAATGTTGTTATCACTTCAGAATATGTTACCATGTTCAGGAAAACCCACGCTAATATCTATGGAAGATTCTTTAATTGTGATTTATTTTTTTTTTTAAACATTTCTGTGTCAGTATTGGGGCTTGAACTCATGGCCTGGGAGCTATCCCTTAGCTTTTTCACTCAAGACTGGCACTCTAGCATTTGAGCCACAGTTCCACTTCTGGCTTTTGGTGGTTAATTGGACACTAAGACTCTCAGGGAATTTCCTCTGGGCTGGCTTTAAACCACCATCCTTAGATCCCAGTCTCCTGAATAGCTGGGTTACAGATGGCAACCACTAGTACCTGGCTTTAAATGGTGATTTCAAACAAAACTATCACTAGAAAAATGTGGCTACCAGGATGCAAACAGTTGTACTGTTTTTCACTATTGGAAGTTAAGTCAAGGCAACACCAACCCCAAGAAGAAGCCGGGAGTCTTGATCCAGTGCACAGTGCTCCATAGAAGAAGACCCTGTGGGGAGAGGGATGGAGAGGAAGGACAAACTGATCCCAGGACAGTGAGAGAGGAAGGACAGGCCGATCACAGGTCAGCTGAGTGCAGGGTCTGGTTTCTCTTACCTAGCAGGCCAACCTAGATAGGCTATGCCTTTGCCATCAGAAACCCAGGGCTTGGTTCAAATTCTATCTACTGTTCTGCCACTGGGTTTAAGTTATCAGAGCTTCAGCTTCCTTACAGCTAAGGTGCAACCATTACTATCCCATTAAGGGGCTCTGAGCATGTGCTCCTACACCAGGGCCAAGCTCACTGTGGGCTTTTCATGTAGGTAGTAGAGATGTTCATGGTGTTGGATGGCTCTATTGTGATCTTTGCTTTACTATTTCCTAACCTTGTGACCTTGAACAAATGGCTCCAGCTTATCTTTCCTCTACCTTAGTTCTTTTTGTGAAGTTCAGATGGCAATACCTCTTCATGTGGTATAGAAGATTATTTATGCCAAGCTCTGAGCATGTTGCCAGTCATAGTCTATGCACTCCACAAATATCACTAGAAATGATTCCCATTTTCAATAATCAAAGTGAATTCTCTTTGTAGATGGAGGGACCCGAATCCTTCACTGAATGTCCATGACCCAAATCTTCCATTTTGCCTGACTGTGTTGATTACTCTTCTCTTCTGCTATAATAGGCTTAATCTCTTTCTAGGAGGTGTGTGTGTGTGTGTGTGTGTGTGTGTGTGTGTGTGTGTGTGTGTGTGTGTGTGTGTGTGTGTGTGTATGTGTGTGTGTGTGTCAGCCTGTACTTTCTGCCTTCTTCGTGTGTGTGTGTGTGTGTGTGTGTGTGTGTGTGTGTGTGTGTGAGAGCCTGTACTTTCTGCCTTCTTCCTTTGATGTCGGACCAAGGAGCAATGGCCTGGATTTTTTCAAAGGGAAGCCTTGAGGGCCCTAGGGCATGGCTTCAATGTGATGGAACCTTATTTAGTGGGGGTGATGGCAGCCCATACACTTCCCTGGGGAGGGAAGTCGGAGGAGTGGGGATAGAAGGAGATATAGTTTCCAGGGTCATATTTCCTGGCAAATGAAAAAAGAGATTTCTCGAACCTTTAGGGAGGCAGACAGCTAAGGACAGGCTCTCAAGTTTTCACTCCTGCAGGTTGTATGGAGAGGATCCAATTACACTCTTTTGATTCATCAATATCTCACTAGTCGTCCCTGATTAATTCAAGGGGCAGAACACAATTTTCTCCTTCATCCCAAGAGAAGGTTACCGTATGTGGCAAGAGCAACAGCTCTTCACATTAAGGCGATGCTTCATTCTTCTAGAGGAATAGTTTTTTACTTTGAAAGGCACCAAGAGGGTAACTATTCTGTATCAGGAATAATGAAAAATTGGTGTGAAATGGAAACCTGTGGGCTGCCTGAAGCAGCAAATTTTAGTCTTCTAGGCCAGGCCTTTCTCAGGCTCACTAATAGCTTCTTTACCTGGTTAACAAACACAAACCTATTCCTTTCTTTGGCACACAGGTGCAGACACAGACACAGGCACAGACACACACACACACACACACACACACACACACACACACACACACACACACACACACACACACACACACACACACACACAGCAGTTATGGGGGGGTGACCTGAGGATTTGGATGTCTAGGCAGTTTCCAGGTGATAAGGACCACTACTCTGTCCTGAACTCTGAACAGGAGACCCAGCCAGGACCCCACCCCGCCACCCCCCACCCCCCGCCATGGAAGGAAAGCAAAGGCCACGCATCCCATTGTCCCATTGCAGCCCTGGGTTTTGTTCTTCTCTCCACTGCCAGTGCCCACGTGTGCAGGAAGCAGTTTCCCCATGGGAGGAAATGAACTACGTGACACTCCAGTGATCACAGTGCCCCATTTTTAGTCTGCAGGAAAAAGAGAGAATGTTCCAGGCTGTCTGCCTGAGATGTCAACATAGAGTCTAGAAGTGTCAGGAAGATTTTGACTTGTGGTTTATTTTTGCCTGTGATGGCCCTTAACTGTGAGGCAAATAAGTAAAAAAAAAAAACAACTTCTAGGAGCCTTTGGGTGATAGGAGTGAAAGTTCTAGAAGGCAGAGTGGTGGGGAGGACACTCCTCCTGGAAGGCTCTTTTCTGAGCACCGAGGGGTCAGTGTGACTTTATGAGGTGATGTAAGAGTTCCTGGCCTTCCTTTTGCCCCCTTGTATACTTCTCTACTTGGTGTATCCTGCATAGCAGCATTCATTCCCTTTGTCTCATTTCTCTCCAAATGAATTCACTTCCCCTGTGTGCCTTGTCTCAGTGTTAATACTTGGTTTAGTTTACACACTTAACATCGAACCTGGTCCTTGGCATCCAGATGGCTGTTAGGCTAGGAGAATTCCCGCACCACAGCCTCTTTAAAGCCTACACACTACTGCATGCAGCATCCAGAAAAGGCAAATAAGGACAAAGAATATTCATTTCGGGGAATACTTGGCAAACAACAGAAACCAATATAAATTTTAAGAGTGTCTGAGTTACTTCTTAGATGTAAGTTCATCTTTGGTCTTTCATTAAGGCTGTAATATCCTTACAGGATACATTAAACTGGAATGAATAGACTGGAGGGTCAAACAGTTGCATTATATGAAATTATTCTGGGTTATTAAAAACACACATGACCAAATTGGGTTCATTTTGTTTTACTTCCTTGAAACAGTATTTAAAGTAGATAAAGTGGATATAAATAATAAATAAATAAATAATACTAAATAAAGTGGATAAAATAAAGTGGGTAAATTTTAAAGCTGACACTGGGACCCAATGTCAGGAAAGATATGCCCAATATCTCCTTGGAGACATTTCCACCTGTTCAGTCCCAAAGTCAAATCCATCAAGGCCTTGTGCTCAATGTTCAGGCTATGACCTACAGCAAGGTGAGTCAAGGTCAAAGTGTTCATCTAGCTTTGCTACATGATACACAGTGACTAAAAACCACACAATGGATTAAACCCCAGTCAGGGGGGACCACTTACGTTTGTCCTGCAAGGAATCATGAGGCACCTCTCCCTGGGGGCTTTCTTCCAAGTCTCCAAAATGCAGGACCTTATGGTTTGGTGAAAGCCGACAATACCAAAACTTATCTGGGGAGAAAAGAAAAAAGCAACAAAACACCAATTTACAAGGTAAGAGATTCTTGTTTCTAAAAATACCATTATGGATTTCCCTAATATTCTTGCTTAGAGGAACAAAAATTCATTTAATTTTAAGTCTTAAGAAAGAGTGAATTAATTCCAGGGCCCTGAGCAATAAGCCTCTTTCTGATTTTGATATTTAGCTACTGCCTAGCCTGCCCAGTGCATGTTTGGTAGGTGTCAGGAAAGTCACCCAATTGTTCATGTTCAATGGCAAAAGCTTTTCTGAAGAGGTTGTTTCCAGAGGGCATTTTAGCACTATTTTTAACCTACCAGGAAGGATATTCCTTATCTGCCCAGGCCTGCGACATGGGGAAAGAGAAAGAACAGCTCTCTGCTCTTTGGAAGAAAGAAACAGCTCTCTTACAAATTTGTCTGTCCCCACTTCTTCCTCTGATTGTCAGCCTGTCGAGATGGCTGCGCACAAGGACACCTATTATCTTACTCCCTCCAACCCCCGAAGTTTAATACACACAGTGAATGAACCGGCATATACATGGGGTAGGATTAACGGAGAACTTACCTGAGTAAGTTAGAAAGTTATTAAAAGAATTAAGCCATGCCCAACCATTCTTCTCTCTAACGAGTAAAGTTTAGTTCTTTGAATGGGCATAAAAAAGGCCTTACGCTGATTCTAATCAACAGCATCGTCGACTTTACCCCCTCTACCCATGTGTGATGAGAAGGTTGAAGTAAGTCTGTAAGGGAGGGAGAAGGATGATTGCTAAGGAATTTGAACTTGACAGTGATGCTGGTGAACCTGTCAAGGCTTAGCTTTGAGGCTGCCCCCTCCAGGAAGCCTTCAGATGGCTGCAGTGGAAGGGTCCCTCCCCATCCCCTCACAAGCTCCAGCATCCTCTTTGTACCCTTAATAGTATTGGCACTAATGGAGAACACAAGTTAGTGATGTTAGTATTCCCTTTTATCTACCACAGACCCTAGGGAGAGGCAACGTGTCCTAGTGGGTAGACTGTGAACAATTACTGATGGGCAGAGACCCAGGGGACCCACCGTGACAGAGAGTAGGCACTGAAGTTTCTGTATGGACAGTACCCATCTTTGTAACTGCAATGTCCCAAACACCTGGCACAGGAGTCATGCAGCTAGTGTTGGCTAATGTGGTAAGGGAAGACTCAAGGTATCTTGCTTAATACAAAATTGATAAAGGAAGACCCATGAGGGCTCAGTAAAATGCCTAAAGCACAGAACACCTATCATCTGCCATTCCCTTTCTACCTTTACACTGCAGGTTCACTGTAAGGTTGGCTAAGTCACTTCATTTCCTGATCTGCAGTCCTAAATCATTTGGAAAGCAATCTGACTAGAAAACTAAAACCATCAGCTTTTAGGAAAAGTGGGTTTCTATTTAAAATTGCATTCACTGTAAAATTATGCTTCTACTGTCATTCCTAGCCAGGCACTGGTGGCTCACGCCTGTAATCCTAGCTACTCAAGAGGTTGAGATCTGTGTATTGTGGTTCAAAGCCAGTCCGTGCATTAGAAAGGGTTGATACCGGTAGACAGACTGTCTTGATTGGTAATTAAATAGGGTAGACACTGGAGTCCTTAGCTTTGGATGGATTAGTGTCCTTATAACTTGAGTATTTCTACCTCTAAGGAGGAACTGCTATGAAGCAGGGTTGAGCTGCCAGCTCGCAGCAGCCTAGGTCACTGACAAGGTGACGGAAAGCATTTCGGTGACCACCACCAGGAGCAGTTTCATTTGCAGTTTCTTTTCGGGTAAGAAAAATGTGTGTTTTCCTTTCAAAACCCAGCAGGATGTTGTTGTCAGTGTCTCAATCCCCCCGGGCAATGGAGAGTGGATTTCATCACTGAAAGCAATGAGCAAGAGGCACTAAGAACATTATCAAAGATTGTTTAGTAGCATTTAAGGAAGAAATGAAGTAAATATGGAGGTCTTGTAGTCAATTACAAATGAGAGTATGCTGATGGTATCTATTCAACCCCAAATTCAAAAATATGGAGACAAATTTGTGCTTCTGTGTATGTATGTATTTCCTCTCTCTCTCTCTCTCTCTCTCTCTCTCTCTCTGTCTTGGTCTCCTTGCCTCTGTCTCCTTCTCTATTTCTCTCTCTCTCTCTGTCCCTTTCTCTATTCATCTGTCTCTTTGTCTCTCTCTCTTTCTGTCTCTGCCTCTGTCTCTGTCTCATCTCCCCATCTATCTGTCTCTTTGTCTCTCTGCCTCTATTTGTTTTTCTCGGTCTCTCTCTCTCTCTCTCTCCTTCCCTTCTTCCCTCCCTTCCTTCCTCCCTCCCTCCCTCCCTCTGATCAGAGGGAAAAGCTGGTTTCCAAGCTCTCAAGTCTGGTAAAAGGGCTGATGAAAGCCATTTGCAGTGTCACATGGATTCTCACGGGGCTGATAGCCATTGACAACTGGAATTCTTGCAGCACTGAGACGTTTATCTCCAATATGGCAGACCTTACTGCCATAATAGAAATACTCTATATGTGCTGTGTCAATAAAAGGAAACATATTTCCAAGTTTTCTGTCTCAATTAACTTGGCCACCAAGTACTATAAGGAGCCTGGCATGCTGAGTAATAGATTTCTGAGGTACTCACTAAAATTGACACCGTCCTCAACAGGAAGTGAGCTTCTTGCTATGAACCTTCCAGATAAAACCCTCTAGGGTTCAGCTCAGGGCTCTTATCAAGACTACTCCATGGTAGCAATTCCAAAGATCTAATTTCTCAAATGCACAGAATAGAGGTCCGTTGTGAACATTCCAGAAACAAATAATGGACCAAGTAATGGCCTTCATACAGATAACCTCCAGGGTCTCAGCTTCCCTCTATCCTGAAGTTTAGGGAACAGAGAAGAACCACAGTGTGGTGAAGACAGAATGGAGGAATCTAATGGATGGAAACATGCCAAACACCATATTAAGTGCTAAAGAGGCGTAATCATTTAACTCTGGAAACTTATTTGAGGTCGAAAAGTGGCCCCATCCCCTTTGATGGAGAGAAAACTCCAGATGGAGGAGGACACTGCCCAAGGTCACTACTCAAAGTGAAGAGGAACGGTCTTGAGCACGGTTTAGTGTTTTCACCGTGATTTTCTGCCTCTAAGTCCTAAAGCAGCTTCAATTCCCAAAGTGTAGACTTTGCCTGGGTTCATGAGACTGCCCAAAGAACAGAGCTTCCACTGAGAAAAGTAGAGCGATAAGTAAGTACTAGGCAGGAGACCTTCTAAACAAATGTGGACCAGCTAAGAACCCTATGTTTGCTCTTCTGCTTTTCTTTTCTTTTTTTGTCAGTCATAGGGCTTGAACTCTGGGCTTGGGCACAATCCCTGCGCTCTTCAGCTCAAGGCGAGTGCACTCTACTGCCTGAGCCACAGTAACACTTCCAGTTTTCTAGTGGTTTATTGGAGATAAAAGTCTCACAGACTTTCCTTCCCAGGCTAGCTTTGAACTGTGATCCTCAGGTCTCAGCCTCCTGAGTAGCTAGGATTACAGGCATGAGCCACAGGCTCCTGGCTCTTGTGCTTTTCATTTCAGTAGACATGGGAGATTTCATATCTCTACCCCCATAAAGTTAATTACTTAGATGCATTTGTCTGTAATCTCCATCCCTCCATGCCACCCTCCCCACCCCCTGCTCTGCATTGGGCCATTTAAGGGACCATGGCTGTGTCTCTTTAGTGATGACTGCATCCAGCAGGCAGGTGCCCACCCAACGTGAGTTCGCCTCTGAAAGTCGATCTTTCTTAAAAGGATTAAAACTGATTTCACGTCATATCCTCTTTAATCTGTGCAAATCTAAATGGAATGTTTTGACGGGGTGATAGGAAATCAATTTCAGCACCGTCTGCTCTGAATTTCTTTTTTTAAAGCACAGGGCCACTGACCAGATTTCAAATCCATTTAGCAAACACCCCAAAGCCTTCCCCTCTGCAGATGGAAGGATAAACTTGCATGAAATCCAGTTGGCCACACTCCCTAGGACGCACGACTAGTAAATGTATCATCAAGACGCTAATTCATGTGTTCACTACGTAATTCATTTTTAGAGAGTTGGACACATCAACAGTTAAGGGATGAATATTTCTTAAACAAGAAAGTCTAATTATGTTATCTAGAAATGTGCACTATTCTGGTCTTTTTCTGGTATAGTCTATGCATTTCAGTCTAGAAAGGGAAGTCTCATAATGAAGTAGATTGGAAGGTTAAATTTAGTTTTAAGAATTAGCATTGTTTAGCGGTCCTGGGGTTTTGAACTGAGGGTCTGGGCAGATGCTCTATTATTTGAGCCAAACCAGTCCTTTAAGGATTTTTTTCCAGATAAGATTTGCCTAGCGCTGACCTCAGAACACAATCCTCCTATCTGTAGCATGACCAATTTGTAGTACCAGATCTGGCTTACTATTTTGCTTACTGCCTGGGCTGATTGAGATGTGTTTTGCTTTCTTCCTGGGCTGGCTTTGAACCACAATCCTCTTGATTTTCATCTCCTGAGTGGCTAAGATTATCATGCTTGGTCACAAGAAGAAGGATTTAAGCTAAGCATGAGTGGAAGCAGCTGTTGGTTCGTGTCTACTTGCCAATCCCATCACAAGACGTCTATGCCCTTTGCCTAACATTGGTAGATAAACATTTGATTGTGTCATCTGTATAGGGACTGAATACCCTGAATTGAGGGCCCAAGGACAGTGAAGGGATGAAGGCACACACGGACTGGCTGAGCCCTCAGGCCTTCTAGTGTTCCCCTCCCATTTTATAGATGGAACCTATGGCCTTGAGAAGTCATGTGTCTTGTTTTCAGGACCCTTGGGTTGCTAAAGAAAGAGCAGAGTAGTCTAGAACCGAGTCCTACACAATCTTCCAGAATAAACAGTATTTACTTTCTATGTTGATTTCTTAGAGCTACATTCAGGATGGCCTTTGTTCCTTGCAATAGCTTTAAGAGACAGGCATAGCTACCCACTGGGAAATGGCCTCCAGGGGACCTCCCCCCATGGTGGTATCTGCTTAATATAAAATAACCAATGCTGGAACACAATGAGAAAGGAAGGTGTGAATTCACCCTTCTAGGGCTAAGTGAGGAAGATGAGTTTTTTCTTAATGTCAGTCTTTCCTGTCCCTAGCTGTAACTTAGCCCTTTAGTATTCTGTCCCTTACCCTCTCCTGAGGTCAGTGAGGAGCTGTCAGGACTTCCCATCCTGTGAATAATCTGCCCCTTTTACTCCTTCAGGAAGGCTTGGTCTTGTAAATTCTTCAATGTGAATGTTAATGTTTACACCGAAATACTTCAATGATGACACACTCAGCACAGGGCTGTTCAGTGACTGTATTAGTGGGGATCGTTGTGCCTGAGCCAGGCATTCACTGGGTTTCAAAATGTCTGCCAGAGTTTCACCTAGTTAATAACTGAGGTTTTATGATCATTTTTCTTGGCACAGTTTTTATTTTTATTTTTTTATTTTTTTTTCTTGGCACAGTTTTTAATGTCTATGTTTACTTCTGTATCTTTAATCTTCTCACCTTCCCCAAACCTTATTTAAAATTTTTTTCTGGCTGTTCGCTTCTAGTAGAGTATCATATGAATATTTTGACTGTACAACCAGCATGTCAAGAGATCAAGACAACAATCAAGGCAAAGAAACAGAAATGCTTTCTACCTATTGGATCTAGTCCATTGGGCACCATTTTCTTTTCTTTTCTTTCTTGTGGAAAGCTTACTTGGAACTACTGGGATTTAAACTTGCTAGGCAGGAGGCTCTACCACTTGAGCCACACTCCAAGATCTTTTTGCTCTAATTATTTTTCAAATAGGGTCTCACGTTTATATTGTAAGACAGTGATCCTCCTGCTTACATTTACTGCATAGCTTGATCACAGGCACATACCATGGTGCCCAGCTTTTTATTGGTTGAGATGGTGTCTTAAGAAATATTTGGACACTATGTGGAAAATGAACTGTACATGTTGTGGGTGGAGATGGAAAGGAAAAGCTGGGACAAAGCAAGAGAATGGGCACCATGGTTCAAAGAGAAATGTCCTCCTTACCTGACTTATGTAACTGTAACTCCCCTGTATGTCACCTCTACAATAACCGTAAAATACATTAACAAAAACAACTACACATGCAATAGGGTGAGGTACTCTGAAACATCTGTATCTAATGTGCTTCTCTGTTCTGAAGCACTGTTTTGCCCCAGGAAACTTTGTTAAACTTAAAAAAGAAATATCTGCTTGAACTGGCTTTGACTGTAATCTTCCTGATTTCTGCATCCTTATTAACTAGGCTTACCGGTGTGAGCTACCACAGGAGGCTCAAGAAATGTGTCTTTAGGTGATCTCATTATTGTGCAAACATCATAGAGTAGACAGACACACAAACTGAGATGGCTACAATGTCACAAATTGACATCATCTCATGGGACCACCATGGTATATGTGGTCCATTGATGACTGAATGTTACAGGGTACGGGACCACATAAGTCTTATGTTTAGAGCCAAGCTTGGCACATATGAGATTGGTTTGTCCTTAGCTGTTGCTGACACAGCTGTCATTCAGAGGGAAAGTGTCACTTTATGGGGAAGAACAGCACTCCCATTCCACAGGTCTGGAACTTTCGTACTCTAGGTAATTATGGTTCTTCTTAGGTATGCATGGCAACAAGGGGCCACATAGACTACTCTTCTTGTCCTACAAACAGAGTCACATGGCTACCCCTGAACCAACACCAGGCCCTTGTGACTCCCCGGGAACAGGCCCCAGTGTGGAGTGTCCCTACAAAATACCTTGCCTCCGCCGGGCGTTGAGCTTCCTAAAGCAGGTCCCCTCCACCAGACGATTTAGGCGCTGCTGCTTGATAAGCTCTAGGATTTCCGGCTGGATCTTCTCCTTTAGTTCCCTTTTGGAGGATAAATACATGGTTAGTGGTATGCCTTGAGAAGTGTGGTTGGCAGCATGGTAGACAGATGGGCAGGGAGTGAGAGCCACATCCTTCCAAGAACACCCCAGGAGCTCCCAAGTTGTGCTTTACAAATCATTTGTTCAGGCTCTACAGCTAGAGCTATCTGTCACAACCATAGGATGGCCTCTGACATTTACAAAATTTCCACAAATGTATCCGCCACTTCAGTGATGTTTATCCAGAACCAAGTATTTGGACAATTTCTTCTTTTATTTTATAAAGGCACAGACAGCACTTATGCAAAGGTTAAAAAAATAAAGCTCTGAAATGCTCCCACCCAAGTTTCTGTCTTAGAACAAGTCAACTCCTAAGCCACATTTGTAGTCTGCCCAAACAGGAATACTAAGCAGCCACATAAGTAATATTTCACAGCATGTTATATCTTGAGTCAACCATAGGCCCACTTTTTGCTTTCTAGTCCATCTTTCACAAATGGAAACTGCAACACTGTCCTAGATTCTAGCCCACAGAGATTGAGATAATGATGGGGTAAATTAAAAATTATTTGCATCTTGTCTCAGGCTAATAGGATGTAATTTAATTCTAGATTGTGCTCCACTGCAAAGATATTATGATACAGTACAATGGTCTCTGAGTCCTGTTTTTAAGGTGATTTGAAAGATAGGAATTTGGGGTTAGGTATTCTGGCCTTTGACTTTAGTAAAGACAGGGTTGTTCTAGTTGATGTTGTACAGAAAGACCAGAGCTCAGCCCTCATGACCACGTTGGAGGCATTAGTGAGACTGGATGTAGACGTCAGAAGGCTAAAGTTCCAGTCTGCTATGGGCCAATTTCTAGAAATGACTCCACATACACATACACTTTCTTCTTTTTCATTTATGCGTTCTTTGTTGAATTAGAGAACTATCTTTCAAAGCACTGAGCTGATGGTGTAAGAATTACATTTTTTTCTTGTCATGAACCCTAAAGACTTCTAAAACCAAACTAATTTCCCCCTCTTTTCTATCAGACTTCTTCCAGTTTCTTGCAAATGGACTCAGCGGTTATAAATGTCACAGACTAGCACAAATCTAAGTAATCCCTACAACATTTCCTGTGGATGAGATCTGACCTCCTGAGTAATTCAGGAAATAATGCTGTGGGTTGTCAGAGGAATTTGAAACTCTTGGCTTGTGGTCAATGAGATTGAGGTCATTGGTTCAGGGGACTGGCTTTGACAGATCCATTCTAATTCCACCAAAGGACTTGTAAACAGACAAAGGGGAAAGGAGGCAGGGTAAGAGAGTATATGGAAAACAAAAGCAAAATCCAGAACTACTTCTCAAAAGAGTCCAGGCTCAGCTAGGCCAGTCTCAATACTCAGAAGATGGCACCATCAGACCCACCAGACTCCTCCTCAGGTGTGTGTGTCGGGGGATCTTCCCCACTGAGCTTCCCTAGATCATCTACCACAGAGGTAGGCAAACAAAGTCAGGCACCCAACAGTATATTCTTTAGGCTTTGTGGGCTAGATACTGAATAGATATATAATCGTGACTGCACTGCACAACCAGTGGTACGAAGGTTTGGCCCAAGTGGTCACAGTTTATGGACCTCTGATTTAGAAGGACTCTGGAGAAACTTTGTGCTAAGTGACCATGTCAGTGTCAGAGGAACAAATCTGCCTCTGTGAATTTCAGTATTACAAGGACTCAGGGCTTAATTCCTGAACTTGTTCTGTTCCTCACTGAACAGACACAAAGCTTTAAAAACCAACTTGATCATGCTGACAACTCTCCAATTTTGATTTCCATTTTAGTCCTCTCTACTGAACTCCAAACTTGGGGGTCCCACTGCTTGACATGTCCAGCGCTGAACTCCCAATTATCTTGCGGGAGTCTATTGTACTGACTTAGTTCTCCAGCTGCTCAGACCTCAAGCCTTGAGTGCACCCTTGGCTCTTCTCTCTTTTACATCTAACCATCTAGGAAATGCCATTGTCTCTGATCTTCAAAATGGATCTGTTCCTTGGTCGATACTTCTCTTCTCATTACTTCTTGCTTAAGCTTATTGAGATAGCTTCCTAACTGCTCTTCCTGCTGTCAAATTTGCCTCCTTACATCATGTTGGTCCTGTGTTCAAAACCTTGGATGGCACCTCATAAGGCCTATGGGTAATCAGGTTCCCAGTGATTCTTCCTGAATACACTTGTTGTTCTGTCCCTCTGGGAATGCTGATCATTCAGTTCTACTGTGACCTCAGGACCTTTGCAATGGTGGTTCTCTCTACCTGTTATGCTCATCCCCAAAATACTGAGTCCCTTGTGTGTGACTTTGCTCAGAAATAATCAGAGACATCTCTTCTAAGTATTCTTTAAAACTAGTCACCTAATTCCCTTTATCTTGCTTTGTATCCTGTTGCATGTACCCCACTTAACACATTGACACTGTTAATTGTGTACAGTCTGTTTCTCCACCCAGGAATAGGGGTTATGTCCATTCTCCTCACTGCTCAATCATCCACCTAAAGAACAGTGAGTTTGTATGTTTGAACACTGGACATTACATACCTAGGCAGGCACTGTACTAAGCACTGGCTACCAGAAAACTTTGAGGGAAGCATATTTGTTAGGAAGGGCACAGACTGACAAGCATAGTTATTGGCTATATTTCTAGCTCTATTTTCTCCTTCATCTATTTCTCTGGACTTTCTGAGCAATGTGAGGTGAACCCAAGTACACTCATGGGGTCACACCTTAGTAAGTTCTGTGCTAAATGCTTTTGGACACTACTTTGTTGCCTCCTCATGATGTTCCAGTGAAGCAGAAACTCATAATTTTCTTATTTACAAAGATGAGAAAAGAAGGTTTAGAATGGGTATGGAACTGGTCTAAAAAGACATATATGCAAATGGTAGCACTGAAATCTGACCTGGGTCTGTCAGCTACTCTGGTTCAGATTTCAACGCATTTTTATCTCCTGACAACTGTTTTAAATGGCCCATTTTCAGGCCACTGAAGCTTTTTATATCCATTAACTTGGATTAATTATGTGAATGGACTTATTGTCTCTGTTAAGTCACATTAAGTACGAAATAAAAAATACTTCCCTTCTTCCATCACTAATCAAGAGCTATGAAATATAACAACTTTTTCAACCCACTGAATGCCTATACACCGAATAATTCAATACACTGAATACAGATATTCTCCAAAGATCTGCTTGCATAGAGTTGACATTTTTCTCTTGAGGATATGCAGCCATTTTAAATCATGATGAGATGTGTGGTTGATGGAGTCTGGCTTGCTATAGGCCATGTGTGGGCCACAGGAGGTCATGTTGGGGCCACCTACACAGTCTTCTGGGGATGGAGAGGGTATATGATCTGAGGCTGATGATATGGGGAGTTCTACACTAGTGCTCATCTCTGTCTGCAAAGTGAAAGGCTTGGACCCGATGGCCTTATAGATACCTTTCAGTTCTCAATTCCAATGTCTTCACTACCATGCTTGGGAGATAGACAGTTCCTGGGTGCTACACACCTGTGCCTCTTGTAATCCAGCACTGAGCTTTCTGTGAATCCTCTCCTTCCAACTTTTAAAGTCTGCATATTGGGGGGATGGGCCACAGAGTTTCTGCCTACTTTCAGAACTTTGGACAGAGCCTGGTATGGAGGAGTTTGTTCCATCCACACTTGCTTGTTGAATGAATGCATGAATGAATGAATGAAAACATTTACAATCTCCCTCTTTTCTCTTCAGTGACTTGGGATTATTGTATGAATCATGTTGATAGACTTCATCCAACCCCACCATGAGCCCCTCCATAGCATATAACCATATTGGATGAACTAAATCACTGGACAGTGGATCATGCTAATAAACAAAATGTACTCTGGCTCCCTCCCACTGGTTCATGGGCTGTGATAGCAATCAAGCTGGCCTGTGGCCTTCCCATTTCAATGTTGCAGCTTTAAACACCTCCTTACGACTGCACTAACACTGTATGTATACCAAGAGCTCCCGTGCTTTTCAGCTTCATGCTGCAGAGATACACAAAAGCTGCATCCACAAAGAGCTTCTAAGTTTTTTTTTTTTCCTCTCCTGACTAATCATAAAGGCAGAGCTTCTTATCTTTACAAGTAACTTCCAAATGAGACAGGCAGAGCTTTGAAAGTGAAGATAGAAAGGCAAAGAAGAAGCCAAGTGTTCATCCTGGTTATGCAGCTGACTTTCTTTCTTGGAACAATTCACGGTCAGACATTAATTTAGAATCACTTGGCTTGAACTGAAGCGATATTAATTTAGAATCACTTGGCTTGAACTGAAGTGATATTAATTTAGAATCACTTGGCCTTCACTGAAGTGGTTCTGGATGTTTCCCTTTAGGGTTTAAGAATAGTTGTCAAGATATAACGAAGTGTCCTTGTGCATGTACATCTGATATAAGAGATGGCTTTGGGAGACGTAAGCCCTAGCTGGCCACGCACCACAGTCTTTCCTTGCAGTGAGAGGCTGTGTCTCCCAGAACCATGCATTTATCCAGAGTGCTTTCTGCTGGGAGGGATTTCTGTCTCTCCTAGCTTGGAACCAAGGTAAATCCCCAAGCTGTATCTCTGCTAAGGTCTGGTGTTCGCTCTCTCTCTCTCTCTCTCTCTCTCTCTCTCTCTCTCTCCCTCTCTCCTTCTCCCTCTCCATTCCTCTCTCTCTCTCTCTCTCTCTCTGTGGGGGGTGACTTAACTGTAAAATGACAAAGCCCCTTGGCAGCTCCACTATGCTCTGCTGATGAAGTTCATGTCCACTAAAGTCTACAATTGCACTCCACAATTTCCAATAGTGCTTCTTAAGATTTGAAAAACCAATGAACAGTCTATGCTACTGCTTGACTACTGTCTTCTTGGACCTATGCATTTTAAATTTAATTTCAGTCTTGCATATGCCAAGAAGAAGGAGGAGGCAGAAGCCTAGTAATCAGCAAACTTGAATTCAAGGCCCAGTTCCTTCAGTTGTTAACAAAGCCTTCTCTTTCCCTCTTTGAATGGGAATAAGACTTGCCCATTCATAGAAGCTATGAGTTCATGGAATAAATAGAACGAAAGGTTCCTTGCTAATTGCTACACATTAAAAGTAGGAAACATAGGTAAGCAGGAAACAGAATAGCAAGAAAGAGGGACAGGGGGAGAGAGGGTGAAGGGATGCTGAATTTCAGAACCACACCTAGGTTCACATTGGTATCACACACATTCAGAAGAAGTCATGTCATCTTGTGAGGATAGAAGAAGAATAAATGTCAACTACCTTTCCTATTTCCCATCCTTCCCCTTATTTCCTCCTCTGTAAAAGAGAAGAGCAGCAAAACTAATAAAACAGGCCAGTTCTAAGAAGAGACAATCCAAAGAAAATCCTTCTCAGCTTCTAGGTGTAGAATATGTTGAAGATGGAGATACATGATATTTTGTATCAATTGCAAGTGACAATGTATTGTATAAAAGGGCCTGCTATCTTTAACCTGGGAAAATACAGGGTTACAGTCACAAAGTGATCCAGGATGCTCCAAAGCCAGCTACCATCAGAGGCCATAGTGGGCCTTTCTCTTCCTACAACATTCATTACCATGCATGCTACTCTTCAGTTTCTGTTACTTTAATGATTGGTTCCTCTCTGGTTGATGCAGAACATTTCGCTTCTCAAGAGGCCCGAACCTAAGATAAAGGTTCACTGATAAAAATTTTGTTCCATGGCTGGGAGGATGACTTACAGCTGGGCTGGTTCCTGGTTTAGATTCACTCTGCCAGATTGGCCAGCATCTCCTACCACGATCAGCCCTTCCTTGGCAGGGCTGCTGAGACCTGCCACCTAAATGGGGACCTTTCAGGTCTCCCGCTGCCTTCTCAGAGGAGCTCACAGCTCATGTCAGATGGCTGAAAGGAAACATGTACACAGATGCTCACAGCTCTCAAGCCTCTTGCTAGACATGGTGAGTCCTTGGGAACACAATGATTGGAAGTGGGTTACTTACAAAATCGGGCGAGACTGGAAATCCTCCTGGTTCATCCTCTCAGACTGGCGGATTTTCAGGATCTCCGTGTAGCTCAGGTTCTGTAGTTTGCTCTTGAACTGGTCCAGGGAGCTAGGCTTGGTTGTAAGAGCTCTCATAACCTGCTCTTTCACCACCTGCATTACCTGTGGATAGAAAAAAGACCATTGTTTTCCTGGGGGCTGACCATCGTATAGGCCTTTAGCAGAGGCCTCAAGTTCACCGCTCTATGCCTGCCGGTCTAAAAGCATGCACTCAGAGCCCCAGCCTTTTACAGTGTGCTTTTGCAAAGGATAAACTTCCATTATGATCACTTCCATTCCTTCCTGTATTGTTGGAATCACATAGAAGGAAATGGTGTAACTTGGAGTGAGAGGTGGGGGGAGTGCTCCATTTGCTCTCTATATTCTGTGCATTATGTGGCTGCTGTCGAAACAACACTGTAATCAATGCAATCTCAAGAGTCAGAAATGAACAAAGGCCAAACAAGAGCTAGAAGCCTACACATGAATTATTTCTTCCAGGAGAAAATCGCTGAGACACAATTAATATGTGGGAGTTTGGCTCTGCATGGGTACAGATGCCCACACCTCCCAGAGCTCTTTCCACACGACGTTGGGGCCTGAGAGCTCACACAAATTATGCATTTGGAAATGCACGTGTGCTCTCGCTTCTTTGAGTCAGGCACTAAACAAAAAGGTTTATTAAATTACAATGGATGTATCCTCTTGGAAGTCTCAAGAAAAAAAAAAAAAAAGAATATGGTTTTGTTGCCCCAGAACCAGTCTTGCTACAAAGAAGGCAGTATAAGCTGCTGTCTTTATCAATATGAATTCTTCTATACCCGGATACAGAAAACAAAACAAAACAAAACAAAAAGGCCAAGAACACACGGTGCCTTCTAGGTACATGGACCCAGGCCCTTGTACATGCTAGGTAAGCACTCAAGTAGTTGAAATATGTCCTCAAACATGTTGTTTTTGAGACAGACTCTTACTACCTTCACCCAGGCAGGCTTCAAAGTCATGATCCTCTTCCCTCTACCTCTTTAGTAACTGGGATTTCAGAAGTGCCCTACTATTCCCAGCTAAGGACTTGTAATCTTGCTGCTGTTCTTTTTGTCTTCCCCGGCAAATGAGAACAAGTATCTTTTTCAACTCTGGGCCTGGGTGCTTTCCCGCAGCTCTTCAGCTCAAGGCAAGCACTCTACCATGTAAGCCATAGCTCAACACTTCCAGTTTTCTGGTGGTTAACTGGATATAAGAGTCTCATGGACTTTCATGCCCAGGCTGGCTTCGAACCAGGATCCTCAGATCTCAGCCTCCTAAGTAGCTAGGATTACAAGCTTGAGCCCAGTTAAGTCATATCTTCTATTAGGTGCTTATAACATGCCAAGAACAAACATACATACACATATCATACATATATAGAAGTTAAATTTTTACAGATATTACAGTATCATTTCCACTTTATATATGAAAAAAACAGAATTCAATACATGAATCCAAAATCATCCCATTAGTTGGTATGTGGCTAATCTGACCTCAGGATTATAAGCATTCCACCCAGGTCACCATCTGGGATTCTGGGATCATTTGGGAACTTATGTAAGAGTAACTCTCCACCGCCCCTCCCCTCCACCCCCATAGCCCCCCCTCCATGCCTTTGCTATGTATTAAATCCTGGCCAGGGCTACCTCTTTTAATCTTCCCTCCAATACAGTAGAGTAGGCATGTATGGCTCTAATTTGAAATTAAAGGGACTGAGGAAAGATTGATGACTTGCCCTAGATCATACATGTCTAGTTGAATCCTGGTAGATACCAGGTAGTCCAGTCAGACGGATATGTCATAGACCTAGCATTGGGCGAATTAGCATAAGGTATGAGCTCCTTGAGCTAAGGGTCTAATGGAGATGTAGACGTGGCCAAGGTCATGGTTCTGGAAACATAAAGGGCATAGGGGCTCCAGGGGAAGGGATGCAAACAACCAGTGGGCATAGAACAGAATAGCCAGATACTGGTGGCCCATGCCTGTAATTATAGCTACTCATGAGGCTGAAGTCTGAGGATCATGATTTGAAGCCAGCCTAGACTGCAAAGTCCATGAGACTTACTTCAAATTAAGCACCAAAACAGCTAGAAGTGGAGTTGTGGGTCAAGTGGTAAAGTACTAGCCTTGAGCAAACACACACACACACACACACACACACACACACATGTGTATACACATATATACATACACATATATACATATACACATACAGAAAACAGAGATGAAGGCTGGCTTGCCTAATTCATATCCTAGTTTCCTCTGACACTGGCCCTGAGAAGTTTTATTGTTCCTCTGGATGCCAAGGAAAAGATGACAGATGTCATTGGTTTTGTATTAAGAATACAAACAGGTGTACAAATCATACATCTCCATGCCTTTGCAAAGTGGTTTCTTTTTTGGGGGGTGGTAACAATTTTTTTGTTTGTTTATTTATTTATTTTTATTGTGAGAATACTGTACCGAGGAGTTACAATTACATGGGCAAGATAACGAGTACATTTCTTATCAAGCATTGTTGCCTCCTCGTTGTTTCCCCTTCCCATCCCTTCCCATACGCTTCCCGTCCCCCCAACCTGACCCTCCCCCCAGCCCCCACCAAAGTTGTTAAGTTCGTTTTTCGACATAACGACTTGTACATCTCATTGTTGCAATGGGTCCACCTGTATCCCTGTTTAAAAATTTTGTTTTCTCCCTTTCCCTCCCCAAATTATACCAACATCAAATACAGTGAAAGCAGGGGTTATACTGTGGGGGAGGGACATACAACGCAACATAGAAATCATCTTATAAATATGATAGAAACAATTGTATGAAAGAAAAAAAAACATTTGAATACTTATCTTCTATGCCTCCATCAGAAAGAATGACATTGCTCCATTTGTTAGGAAATGGAAAGACTTGGAAAAAATTATATTAAGTGAAGTAAGGCAGGCCCAAAGAAACATAGGTCCCATGGTTTCCCTTATTTGCAATAACTAGTATATGTCTGAGTCAAGCAGAAAAGGTCAGATAAGTTGATGTTAGGGGAATGAACCCCAAGATAAGCCAAGTGGTTTCTATAACTCTTATACTTAATGATGTTAAAGTTTCTGTTAATGTTGCATGTGTATCATTGAAATCAGACATTCACAATCACTATCATTAACTTTATCTCCTGACAGTATCGGACTTTTCACCATTTGTTTGAAAGACCTGCAGATGATGTGGAAGAGGTGTCAGCAAATCAACAGAGTTAAACTTTTTATAGGGTGTGTTTTGCCCGTAGACACTGAAAAAAACCTGCTCTCAGAATCTGCATTCACTATATTCAGGCAATATCTATAACCTGATGCTGGTAATAGTTCTGCCATTCTCTGAAATAATGTCTTATGTTACCAGAAAAAGTAGGATTCCTGGGCTGGGAAAGTGGCTCAGTGGTAGAGCGCTTGCCTTGCATGCCTGAGGCCCTGGGTTTGATTCCTCAGCACCACATAAGCAAAAAGAAAAAAGCTGGAAGTGGTGCTATGGCTCAAGTGGTAGAGCACTAGCCTTGAGCTGAAGAGCTGAGGGACAGAGCCCAGGCCCAGAGATCAGGCACCACAACCGGAACAACAACAAAAAAAAAGTAGGATTCTTATAAAATCTTTATTCTTCACATGGAGAAAAGCTTTGGGGTCCTTGGAAGACTGGGTTAAAGAATGGAATTGAACATGTCCCCAGTAGTCTAAGTGTTCCTGGTTTCATTGCTGCTCATCTAATGAACAGTTCCAGCTCCTGTGTCTTATTTTAGGAATTACCAAACCTCCATGCATCTCCAGTCTAATTACTTCTCTCTTTGTGTTGCAATATCCACAGCCTTTGTTTTTGAACACCAGTTCAATGCAGGGCACTGGGCTACACTGAGAGTCTTGCTCTGAATGAGCTCTCAGTCAGCCACATACTGACCTCACATAGGGGAGGAAGTGATGTCACAGCGGTTCTAGAGGATGGGGATGGGCATTTATTCCACACACTCAAGCTCCTCTCAAATGCTAGGAGGATGAGGACACAGCGTCAGGACTTTGACTGCAGCTTGTGGGAGGTCACATTTAGGCTCACTGGAGTCCAAAGGCATTCTTGAGAGAAAGAGCAAGCAAAGGTCTGGGGGAAGAAAGGAGCCCAGTATGGGCAGGGAAGAGGGTACCATGGCCTCTTCAGGTGGTAGGTATCTTTGATGGCAAAGACGAAAAAGCTGGATATGTTTGGTTTTTTTTTGTGGCAACTAATGACAAATCTATAGAGAATTTGAGGGTCTGCCATGGAATTCATTAACTGAATGTATGTTGGACACCTACAAAGCCATTATCATTCCTGCATTAGTTGGGGCAGGAAGTGGCTGCTAAATAAGTCTGTAGAGCTGCGATGAAACTTGTGCTGAGACTTGGAGGATGGACAGGAGGAGCTCTTTAGTGAAGAGGAGGAAGGGGATAGAATAAAGGCAGTGGGAGGGTGTCTGGCATTAAAGAAAATATGCTTTTGTGGTCTACTCGAGTGGCTTTCAGGAAATATATAGCACAGGATTCTGTAAGGCCTCTCAGCAGTTATCATTCAGTGCACTTGATTTTGAGTCCAGGCTGTGTTCCCCAGATCTGAGCTCTTCCTCAATATCCTACTCAATTTCTCCAGGACTCATTTTTTAAAAATATTAGTAATTAGGAAATATTAAAAGTACAGAATTTGCAGGATTGTAAATTAGGTAATGTCTGACAATCCTTATGTCTCACTGCGATCACAAATTACACATCTATTTCCCTCCATGCATTATGGTAGTAATAACAGAGATTTCAAAGAAATGTAAAATAAGCATATCAGATATTCAACAAGCATCTATTCCTTGCCCTACCCTGAGGAATCATTTTTGTCAAATGTTTCTTCTATAATATACCTTTGACAGGGTTTGCACAGGTCATATTAGTACCATCTGGAAACATCCTAGAATTACCACTTGTCAGGCCTATCCTAGACTGACTCCAAGGACACCTGAAGCTTGGAGCCCAGCAATCTGCTTTAACAGCCTCCAATGGGTCCTAATGCTCAGGTCTGAGAAGCAATGCTCTGGAAATATTCAGCTCCCC